TCGCGAAAGGTGAACAGTCTTCTAGCTTGGAGGCTAGACTACTTGCACAGCAAAGGCGACCACGAGCCACTTTGATCGCGGGGGCTGTCTTTAAGGCCAACTTTGAAATCTTCATGGGGCTACAGTGAAACGATGGCAAAAAGTAATGTGATAATCAACCTGAACGTTCATCATGCCGTCTGCAGTGGTAGCAAATTCTGCAGTCAGCGCCACTGTCATTCCAACAATACTTCCATCAACGAATCCCTGTACTTGAAATGGGCCGCCCGTGCCATAAAACGCCCCAGCGAGCCTGAAAACGTGACCAAATCACCGCTCTACTGTGTGAAAGGTAAATGTGGGTCACTGAATTGAATAAGAGGAAATGTGTTCGTAACTCACGAAATGTCCATGTTTTCCAGCCCGAAAATGACATAACGAGGAGGAAGGAAGTTGACTACGGAAACCTATAAGGATTAGGTTAGAATGACGGTATTAGCTACAAAAAGCAAAGAGAAAAGTGCAACTATTATGAGTCTAAATTACCTGCGGAGGATTGTAATGAAGTACTCGTACTTCACTCAATGTGACCAACCCGTCAATTCCAGGTTGTGAAATGGCAAACTGGGTGGAATAGCCGGATAGCGTCGAGATTTGCTCGTTCAGTAACCGTACACCGACTGTCTTCAAGTGGTTGATGCCTTTTTTTGTCAAACGTATCTTCACACCGGCGTTTCCTCAAAAGTACTACTGTACTAGGCGGAGGAGATGTAACGGTGGCAAAAATAGCCGCTCGCGCGTACAGTCTTTTCCGCTGCGGATGCTGGGGCGTGTCAGAGATGGACTGGAGCTCTAAGGCAGTGCCAACCCCTTTTTCACCAATTATTGAAGCGGACAAGTGACAACAATTGGCGCAATACGAGTTGGTTCCTCGCTCAACCCAGCCTCTGACACGCCCCAGCTTCCTCAGTGAACGGGGCGTCAGACAATAGCTCCAATCGGCTGTCGCCCTAGCCAACCCAGCCCTCCATTTCCTCCAATAAGCCTTCATTTCTTCTGATTTTCTCGCTTTGTTTGGAATAGACTCGTTCATCTAGAACGATAGAGGCACTGATGGAGGCTATGATCATGATTGATTTCTTTTCCAGCCACCCATTCAAGGCATTGGTTGGAACAAATCGCATCCGAAATCGCTCCTGCGACACTGAGCAGTAGCGAGTGTGTTCCCCTTCAGCCTTCAGCATTATTGAATTTTTTTCTAGTACAACCTTCTGTACCTTTCCAAACAAAACCTCGTTCTCAAGGCACTCTTGCAGTTTCACCAGTACCAGATTTGGTAAGCGGCTACACAGGAACAAGGAGCAGAGTAACGGAAGGGGCTTAGCTATAAAACAACAACAGTAACATTGAAATCAGTGCCGTTTCCGCTGGAATCATAGGTCATTGGAGTTTTGGCAGATTTATCAGCCGGGAATATATCCCCTCGAGTTGTTGTTGACGAAAACCCCTTCGTAACGACCTGATGAGTCTGACAGAACTCAATTTACAAAATTACTTACTCTACGGTTGCCGTGAGAGAGCCAGTTATTAGGTTGTTGCATAAGTTTTTCCCCCGACTTTTTTGTAAATATCTCAATAGCGAACCAGCCTGAAGATTAGAGGCACCATCACCATCCACTACTCGACGCCAACGCTCAGGCAGCTTGTCGATTCCATCGTCCCAGAAGGACGGGGGCTGGGACCCGAAGAAGGCCACAATGCCGCACAATCACCACTGTGACATGGTTTTGCACTGGTAATTGTGCGGCATTGTAGCCTGCAAATGCAGGGTGGGTGAGTGATAGCTAGTGTGGTGAAAGAGTATCATGTACACGTCACGCACACGTGATGACGAAATACCAACCTCCATGCAAACGAAATACGGAAGGATCAAAACAGGGGGGGGGGAACTTATGCCCAATATTTTGGGAAGGTCTCAAACGAGCCAAACCTATCGCGGCCGTTACCAGCTGCCTAATCATTCAAGATGCCTTTTGAGATTGGTTAAAATTCATCATGAAGGGAAGAAGGTGAAGTGGGTGGGATGCACATGCTTCTGAAGATGAACCACCTTCTTAGCCCCTCAACCTACAGGCAAATGCACCCAGATAGATATAGCCTTTTATTTTCATTCTATTTTTATTCTTATTTCTAAATTTTTCATAAACTTCAATGCCAAATGTGTCCAAAATTAACAGCTGCTTCTACGACCCCCCCCCTATGAATATGTCACGCATTCCGCGACAACACGTCGACCTCTGACGATCTTGCTAAACAATTCAGCTTCAGTGTGTATCCTATTTAGACCCCCAGAACAATATTTATTGAAACTGGGCGAGATCGCTTAATGTTTTTAGCGCTGTTTCAGGCGTGTTTAAGCCGCGACCGGTTCAGCCCTTATGACCGAACGTAGACGTAATCTTTCTCGAAAAACAAAACGAATTACGAAGCTAAAATTGGGACAAAACGGGTTGCGTAGCTCTCATTGTCCTAACAAGTGCTCCTTAGCTGACAAAAGAAATAAGTTGCTATGGTAGGCTACATGAAGGTCTCTTAATCGAGGATCTTTCTTTATCAACGGTCACTGCGCCTTGCTCGTGGTAAATAGAATTGAGAAAAGGGAGAAGGTGACATCGGACCCTCGAAGGTAGGTCCAGTCTTACCAGAGGGTCGCACTGAGACGATCTTATACCTATGTCGTACAATGTCTGACTGTAAGATGCTAAGCAATCCGCTCCTAATCAGAATATGACATTTCACTAATACTGCAGAATGTGAGGTTAACTCATCTTTTCCCCAGGAAAGTCGTTCCTCTCCATAAAAGGTAGCTCGAAAAGCTCACATAGGTTGGGATTCTTCGAAGAGTCACAGCCCTTAAAGGCACGGTTCGCGATAAGGAGCCTAAAGGAGTAATGGCCTTGAGATATGGAAGAGAAGTTGTCAAATGACTTGTCTGAGAAAAGAAAATGCCAGAGGAAACGTCGAAGACGCCTTCGATAGAACCCTTCCTTCCTCAAACAACTTGCACGAGTAAAAGTCAATATAGGGGGAAGAAAGCCAGTGTATCGATTCCTGCAATGACCTACGATCCCACAAAAGACAGCGGAGCATTCTCTCTCATGCTACTTATCCAGTACCGCTTTCAGCGGTAAGAAGGACTTTGAAGGCGGAATCTGGAGAATGACTTGACGCCTTAACTTCGTTACCTTCAGTTTTCCGCCACGAAACTTGCACAGTGTTGTCCATTGCGGACTACTCTATCTTCCCACACAATCTTTCACATCTTCATAGGTCATGGGAAAGTCCTTTCAAGAGCCCCGCCCTGATAGTCACTGTGAGACGTCCGCAAATTCAGACGTCAAGGTCCGATGCATGCGTGATGCCGCGATTTTGGACCCGAATTAGCATACACCATCGTTTTGCGGATTTCGCGCAGGTGGGATTGCATTTAGGGTGGTCCCATAATCTGGCATTCGAGAGGCGACCAGGACCTGTGGCAGTTTAATCGAGTGTGTTACTTCTGGAGTTTGCGTTGTCATATCAGGGGGGGGGGGGCAGTTCTTGACTTTCGAGGTTGCTATAGACTTACACTTATTTGAATTCTTATCGCGACATATCTAACTACCATTTCAAAGAGCATATTATAAGTACTACAATAGATAACTACCACGCCAGACTGCTGAGAGCGCCATCGAGAGATTCTGCCACGCGACCGTGAGTGGGTGCCTGAGTTCAGCGAGATCGTTGATTTCGATTTCTGATATGTGACTCGGTCGAAATGTCTTTTTTGGGCCCCCCCGCCTCCCGTGCTTAGCTATTGCCTACACAAATGTCTCCTACCCCTAAACGGTTACTATTGAAAATTTGGTAGAGTGGAACGTGCTCTGTGGAGGAGAATCAGCTGAGACCCTAGTTTTCGTACTCTCACTAGATCAATTGACCCACGCACCTCGATCATTGACCTTGCCTTCATCAGCTCTCTTATCACAGCTACGACCCCAGTTACGCCGCCCATGTGCTAGCAGTGCATTTATCTCACAAAAGAACCAAATGACCCTTCAGCCAAGCCACTCTCCCGCTCTAATACGGCCCGTGAAATTCATCATCATCCATCCATCGGTATCCCAAACAGGGCACACCGTTCACTGTTAGAATGATGTGCTCTGCTCACATGTGTCATAGAGAGGAGGGATGTGTATGTGTGCCAGTGGAGGGGGCCATATTTGGCAGCGAAAGGAAGTATTGTAGATTTTACTCTCATAAAACCCTCCTCTCGACAACTAATTCCGGGGAAAGTTCGGCTGAGGAGATGAGTTAAGGTATTCGGATAGCTAGGTGACAGGTAGGGATAGGTTGCTGAGAAAGAGATTGCCCATCAAAAAGTAGAAGCTGGTAGGGTGGAATAATGACTCGGTCCGAACTTCCCCGACGAGGCAAGAAAAAATAATTCAAAATCGATAGTCTTTTGGGAATTCGCACATGCCCAGATCTCTACTACGAGACCGCCAGCAAGGGTAGCGACCACGCCTGGACCCTCGTTACTGGAATCATGATGAGACCCTCATTCTCTTCCCCATGAGGATTTCCCAACGATTCTGTGTCATGCCTACAAATTCCCGTTTTTCATGCACCACTCATATACCGGACAATTGATTTTCCAATCGCAGCCAAACAATCGTCTAAGCTAGTTTTATGAAGAGATTTCGGCGAGATTCCCGGACTCAAGTCAGCCAACCAGGCGACCATGGCTTGTTCTGGCCCGTCGACGTCCCAGAAGGTCAATGAACAGAAACTCCGCAGTTGCGCCGAAGTTCCATAGGCATTAAAGTTGACAGATTCATGGCTTAGAATGGAATATCGGTCGATTCGAGAGTCTGAGAAATTAGTTGCTGCTTGCTGAAGATGCACTAAAAGATTTCGCGACCTACTTATTTGTATGAGACGTTCAATAAGAGAACATTAGCGAACGAAAACCGAAAGTAAGGCCATTCGGAGAATCGAAATCACCCGCAGATGGATCACTGAGAGTGAAAAAGACTTCTGGTTAACCAACCTGGCGTTTTATTCCATTCAGCGTGTTGATAAATTTGTCGGGTGTCGACTACATCGATGGCTACAAGTACGAGAAGAACTAGGGCTAGCCATCGGTCGACGGTTAGCATTATAGCACGCTTTGAAGAGCGAATCGACACTAAGTTGAGTGCAACAGGATGGATCAGTCGAGTCGCGAACTGGATCTCGAATGTAAGACATCTCTCGAAAAGGAGTGGTTGCGATGGGCTGAGATGGATGCGACCCCCGCAACCACAGGGGGTCGGGACGCTGACCACGGATTCCGCACTAAAACAGGGCGAGACAACGGAAGAATATCTGGATGTGACAGCAATGCTGTACTGGTTACGAGTAGACAAAGGTGAATGGGCAGCCGCTAAGTGCGGGATTTCGCACTGCTTTTCGTGAGGCAAGGGGTTAGCTAACTCCATAGACGCCCTTAGGTGAAGATGATGAAGGATGACGTCTTCGCCGTTAATGAGTCCCTTTGTGGGATGCGGCACGCATTCTACTTCCATTCAGTGACTTATTGAATGCGATGTGGCCTATACAATGACTTGCGGGGGCCAGCCGATGTACAAGTCAGTGTTTACCAGACGAATCTGGTACCAATTTACCGTCCCCGGAGGGTAGAAGGCTTGGTTGGCCTGGGCGGGAGTCGACCCGGGATTCGAACCTGGTAAGCGCGCCACTTGTCACTACACCCTCCGTCTTGGGTGATTTTGTAATTACTCCAAAAGTCGCGCTGAAAGATGGTGAGCAGAAAAGGGCATGCCAAGCAGTGGCCTTACCCTTTCAATGTTGGGTTTAGTTCCCATCTGGTCCTGAAAGGAGGTGGTCCAGCGACAACTGTAGGATGGCGGTAGAGTGGAAAAGTTGCTAATTATAACGAGATAATCCAAAAAATCAGTCCCGGATTGGTTCCCGCCCAAGTCAGTTAAGCTCTCCACCTCCCGAGATCGGTTCAGTGGTACCGCAACCGTCTTGGAGACACCGTACACCCTTTGCGTAGTGAAATGCACGGGTCCGCAGCGGCAGT